TGAATAGCCTTGCTGAGCCAGCAGATGCTTGCATTTTCAATTTCATAACCCACTTAAAGAACAAGTTGGTGGTGCATGGTTTTGAGCAATTAAATAATTACTCCCAAAGTGGTTTAAGTTCTGTAGCATTTTAAACCAGTTGCTCTAAAAGAACTTTTTTTGGAAGAGAGAATGCCAATTTATCTTAATACCTACAAGTAAAAACAACTACAATTATGCCATTCAGCGTTGCTAACTCACTCATTTTGGATAAGCTTGTACTTAGAAATGCATCCTTATTACCGGGCTTATGACCCACATACACAGAGGATGGGTAAGGTGCTCTAGGGGAGTAATGGTAAAGACCTGTCTAAAAGTATTATTTCTACTTTGTCTAAAACTAGTGCAAAACCAAACACGTGGAAGCAGATGGTTCAGCTTGTTTTCAGTCTTTCTGAAGTTCAAGGGCTTTTTTTTTTTTTAAGCAAAAGAAAATGACTTAATAACAGTGATGTTCCTTTGAAGGTGGTTAGAAGAGCTGGTGTCATGTAAATGATGAAATGTATCCAAAGTTGCCTCAGCAAAAATGAGAATGATTATGCAGGAATGTGGGCAGTGAGTTCACAGTAGCGATGCAACTTTCTTGCTGTGTCGATTTACTGACTCTTCTGCCCTATGCACACAAATTTTTTTTTAAGTCTGTTTTTAATTGTACAGTGTTTTCTGACTTTTGAACTTCATCTTTACGGAGACAGCTTAAAACCAATCCTAACTAAAATGTTTTTAGCCTAATTTGACTTAGCTTGTTATCTCAGTTAGCTGTAAGGTGAAGGCAAGCTTTAGTAAACATATTTGTATCAGCGCAGTGGATCAAAAAGTACTTGTAATCTTTGAGTCTGCATGTACCTTTTAGTTTTAGTTTCAGCAAGACAGTGTTATCCTGTTGACTTTGTTTGCAAAGCTGGATGTTGGATTTCCAGTAGTTAAGGGCTTGTTCTCATTTTAAGCTGAATTCTTCCATTTTATTTCTGCAGTTTCATTTAACTAATTTCAATAGAGTCAAATTGGTATAAATGAGGGTAGCTCAGCTCCTTTGAATACTGCTAGTTAATTCCATTGCTCCACTCTTTCAGGTCATGTGTGGATTGATAGTTTCCTTTGCTCTTTATCTTACTGCTGCCTAGTCAGGATGCTATCTCTGTCACACGTAGATGCGTGGTGCCTATTAATAATGAAGTTTTGCCCTGTGTTTGGGGATATGTATTGTAGGCACTATAATAAGTGTACTCAAAGTCATAATTGTGTATGATTTTAGGAAAGAGCATGAGGAAAACATGCATGTTTGCTGGTGGTCGTGCTAATATATGCTTGTCTGTTGTCAGAGAGTGTCTGTGATACGCTGTTGGTGTTAGTTGGCTTGCAAGGCTATCCTTCACTAGAACCTGCATGGAAGGCTGGAGGAGCTTGTTTGGCAAGGAAGGGCAGTTACGCATTTCACCTGCAGAAGTTCACTGAGCAAAGAAAAATGCTAAAAGTCTATTGACTCTTATTTCGATAGCTGTGGTCCTGTCTTCCCCACATTTGACCTTGTTTTCTGGGGCAATGCCCAGAAGTCTTTCAAGTTTCTATGCCTGGATTTGTCTGTTGCAGAAACAATATTGCATGCAGTATCTGTCCTTTGTATGGAAGCTTCACACTATGAAAATCCCTAGTGATGAATATATTAACTATGCCAGTACTTGGAGTCATTTTTTTAACCTTCCATGAAAGAGAGAAGTGATAAATAGTTAAAAAGTACCTGTAACTGTTCTGAAATACTTTATTAGGAAGCTCTGATGGTTTTTATCATTTCAGAGTTGTAAGTTTAAATCTTGATTCAGAGCATGACAACTTCTGTTCTGGTGAGATATGCACTAATTAACCCCTGTAATATTCTAGACTGCAAAAGAAAAGGTAGAACTTCAAACTTCAAAAATACATCTCTCTAATTGTGTGCAATTGTTAGAAACTATGAAACTTTACAATTTAAGTGTTTGTAAACAAAATGGCAAAGCATGCCCTTAAAAAACTAAAGCAAACCCTAGTATGTGGAAACTAGGATTAGCATAAGCTTGAACATCTGTAAATCAAAACTTGTGTTAGGGTGAACTCTGGCCTCATGGTGGCTTCCACAGGGAATTTCTAGGTTCTGGCTGTTGCAGGCCATTGCATCAGAAAAAGAACTTGTTCCAAAACTGTGCTTGTTTCTCATGTTTAACACCCCCCAATTAAAAAAAAAAAAAAGCCCCACTCCTTAAGGTATGTACTATTCTAGGATTTTTTCAGCAGATGCTATGTAATAGCTGAGGGGTTTGTTTTTTTCTGGGTTGTTTTTTTTTTTGCTGGGGTTCTAATTTTAAATATTTTCCTTGCTGTACTAGCAAGATGATAAACACTACGATGTTTTTTCTATAGACCATGCATCTATCAGTCACGAGGTTTTTCCACTTTTCTGACTCAATAGCTTGCAACTGTGTGGGATCTTATAACTAGGAGAGCTACTGGCTGTCTTTTTACATCTGTCTGAGCAGTGGTAGGTGACAACTCTTTGTTTATTTCCTAACTCTGCTTTAATCTTCACTCTGAAAATGTTTCATACTTTCTTTTATAGGCAGGATTTGGGACTGTAGCTTTGTTTGTCGCTGGTTTTGCTTAACATGTTAACATAAGTAGGATTGGATTTTGGAGTGTCACTTTCTGCTACTGGCCTGATTTGATGCTTTGATTGCATGAGAGATGATGTTGAATTTCCGTTGTTGCCCATGCCTGTCTTAAAAATCTCCAATCACTTACTTGGGATGATCCGAGTATATTTGATCCTAGTTTGGTACAGAATGGTGTGCTAGCACAGCATTTAACTAGTGACCCAGTGAATATTCAGGAATCTATTCATAAGTGGCTTTCCCTGTGTAATGCAGGTTTTCAGTAGTCTATGCAGACAACTTGTACTGGAACCCTTTTGGGCAACAGATGATTTCTTAATGTCATTTATAGGGCAGTAGGGTCGATATTTTTCAGTATAAAGTATGTGAATGTTTCTATATGTTACTTTTAAAATGCTTTGGAATATTTTGAAGTCTTATGTTGCTCTAATCCTGCTTAAATGGCAAAAAGCAGTGAAATTGCGTGGGGGAAATGTATGACACTTCTTTAGAATCACAACACTGATCAAAAAAAAAAAGTAGTTTTGCTTGGTATCTGAAATGTGGTCATCTCTGCATACTTGTTATGGATTACTGCCATCTCCTTTAATTAGCCTGATTGCTGTGTCTTCTCCCACTGCATAGTTTTGCCCTGTATTAGGCACAGATCTCTATGCAAGAATGTCTGCAGCCATTTAATGTTTTGAAAATTGCTTATTTAGGTTTGTGAGTGAATTACACACACCTAACTCTTCGTGTAATTTACTGCATTGAAAGGCTGATTTAGCAGTATCAGAACTCTTTTCATCTCTGGCAGCAAAAACAGAGGCTGGAATCAAAAGTATGTGAATAAGAAAGGTGGCTCAGGCTTTACTTCTGAAACAGACACAAAAGAAAATCAGGGAAATAATTCCTTCTAAGCCATGCAGTAGCACTTTGCTTTCAGTTTCACGCTTTCCAGCCTCTTGTGCTGAGGAAACATGGGGTTATCTTGGTGTGTGAACTGGATCAACAGCAAGCCTCCTTTGAGCCCAAAGCATTATGAGCTTGAATGGCCTAAGGTAGTGAGGCTGTGAAGTCTATATATAAAGTCTTCATGCAAAAGCAATTCGAGGTCAGATTTGAACACTGTTTGAGCACACTGGTGCTTTCAGGTTCCTGTATCAGGCACTCTTAAGGTTGGGGTTAGGACCCTTGCAAAGGCTGAGTGGAGGGGCAAGAAAGGATGGGTGGAGACCTTTTGGAGGACTTGGAGGAGGAGGTTCGTGGCAAGAGCGTTTGGGTTTCTTAAACATGTTTGGGAACTGCTTAAAAAAGTTTACAGGAAAAAGTTTCCTAGGTGTATCTTCCAATGCCAAGGCCAGGTTGGATGGGGCTTTGAGGAACCTGGACTAGTGGAAGGTGTCCCTGCCTCCCATGGTGGGGGGGTTGGAACTAGATGATCTTTAAGGTCCCTTCCAACCTAAACCATTCTATGATTCTATGAAAGAAGCTCTCCTGTTACATATCTAAATGCAGTGGGTTCCTTATGACCTAAGAATCTTCCAGGAAGAGAGGGAAGGCACCTTCTCAATCTTCTTTTCAACTTTCTTTTATTATGAAATCCTACTGGAATATTATTAGAGTTTTAAAAGGTAATTCAAGGTTAGTGTGGGAATAAACTCTTAGTAATGGAAGCCAATATTTTAATTCCTTGGCTTTCCAATAGTATTCTTGCTTTACAGTTCTTAAGAAGAATTCTAACGGTGTATATTGCTGTATATATAAATGCATGCAGCCTTAATTTTACTTTTTATTTTATCCAGGCTCAAATGTTTGAAGCCTGCTGTGTCTCTTCTTAGTAAATGGAAATGTAGTGGAAAGCATAGATTTCTTGGAAACCACTGGCTGAGGAATTGGAAAGGCTCTCATACTATATTTATGCCACTATTGTGACAGTTGAACAGTCTTCATTATTATTCCTGAAGTGTTCTTGCTGGTGGGTGTTAAAGCTTAATGTCTGTGAGTTAGTTTTTTCAGTGTTTGATTTGAGAGATTTTTTTTTTCCCCCAAGAAGTTTTCTTCTTCAAGGTTCAGTTGAAGTGAGTTGATTTAAAAACAAATAAACCCCCACCACCTTAAAGCCTGTATCCTGGAAAACATAAGGTACCATAAGCATCCTTTTTGCTAGTAGCATAAAAAACCACGTGTTTTATGTTTGGACATAACTTTCTGCAAAGTTGCAATGTGAAAAGTCAGCCTTGAGAATATCCATGTAAAATATAAGCTGTTTAAAGGCTTGGCTCTAATATCTGTGCAACCACATCATTAAGATCCTGTAATAGTGGGAGCACTACTGCCATGGAAGAAGTAGTGGTGGAGTTGTATTTTTGGTCTCTTCAAACTATTTCAAGCTTGGATTTGACTCAATCTCCTCCATTAACTCCTAGAGTAGAAGGAGGTAAGCAAGTGTGCTTAATAAACTTATATGCTGCACTTAATGCAAAAAGAAACGTGAGGGCCTATGCGTAGGCCTGGATGTAATATAGTTAGCCTGATACTAGGGCTTTAACTCTGAGTGTAGAGATGATTGTTGACATTTTTATTTCAGCTGTCTCTGCTATCCCCAGTGCACAGCCAGTTAAACTGCTTATAAAAACAGCTCTTAAATTGCTGAAACATCAAGTCAGCTGTTCTTAAGGTGGAAGTGGCCAAAAAGTTTATTCTTTCCTCTTGGGGGAGGTGGAGATTGGTTTAGAAATCTTGCATTAACTATTTGAGAGTTAATTTCTTTGAGAAATGTATTACTTATCATGTCAGCACATAAGAAGTACTACTAGGTATATTCAAGGTGTGTTTTTTTCCTTCTCTTGACTAAAAATAAGTATTTCTGGTAATAAAGATGTTGTACAGTGAAGTGCTTCATTTTGCTGCTTTTTGTTTGGTTTGTTCAGTCTATACAGAAGAAAATTTAAGATCTTGAAAATACAAATAATCTTGGCCTTTAAAAAAAAGGAAGTGCACTGTTGCTTACTTGTGCTATTGTCACATATAGTGTTTGGTGACTTGCTTATGCCCAATTTTGGGGTTAAAATGGATTTGTGAATGTCAGCATTCACTTAAACTTGTAAAATGATTCTCTCAGCCCTCTCCTTTTTGTAAAGGGAAATACTACTTAGACTTAATTATTCCTTTAAAGATTCTGAAATTTAATAAGTACTTGATTTTCTTTACAAACCCAGAAGTTGAATATTAATAAATTGGCAAGGCTGAAGCTCTGGTAGTTTAGAACTTGCTGATATCTTGGAGGTCCTGAATTTGGAAGAAATTTATTTCCCTTTTTTTTCTGGATATAGATGCAGGTATTTGGTGGGTCAGTCTTTGCCTGACTGATTTGTCCTAAGTGGGTGGTAATAATTGAGACAGTGAAATTGTTAAACAAAGAAGTTTTCTGCCCACATATCTAAGAGGGAGTTAGATGAGATATTAATAGCATATTGATTAAATGGTTTTTGAAACTGCAAGCTGTGATAAAAGTAGCATCCTAATATTTGCTACTTTAATAGACCAGTTTTGGTCTGAGTACCGAAGTTCTACACGTGAAGCAGGGAATAGGTAAGTCTCCTTTCTTACAATTGTATTGTGAGCATGATTAGGTGGAAAAACCTCTGGACACTAGACATAGTCTTTTCACAATTCTCATGGTACGAGTCAAGAAAAAAGTGCATCTGAACTACAACTGTTGATAAAGGACAGGAAAAAAGCAACTTCTGCTTAGTTGCAGATGAGAAGTTATTTATAGCAAGAAAATGAAATGTTTTTGAAAGGGAAACTTGATATAGTGAGATCTAATGAGGAGGATGCATATTTCAGATGCTTAGTGAAACTTCTTTTGGCTTTCTTTAGGCCTGGGAGAGGTAATACTAAGGCAGGTGGTCGAGATGATTGCTTGCCAGCTGCATTGGTATTTTTTATGATCTGCTTTAGAGTCTGGCTCAGGGCTCCATGTGACTTCTTTTCTTGAAAGATAAGAATAAAATTTTTCAGTCTGATGGCAAGGGATAGGCAAGCGTTATCATAAGTTGGAAGCTGTGAAGAACTTACACTTACTTGCTAAATAAAAAGACAGTAGCTTTTTTTGTTTGCTAAAGAGTGTTTAAAGGAGCAGATAAGTGCTTCTTAATAGAATTTCCTGGTTACTAAATTGCAAGATATCTTCCACTTGTGCCTCATATTTGGACTTTTATGGTGGGGACTGCTTTTCTATCAATGACACCTACTGTGATTTGAAGAGGTAAACAATTTATCTTTTGGAGGGACAAAGTGAAACAGTCTAGTTACATTATTCCAAGAAGTTTTATCCAATCTCACATCTAAACTTTTAAAGTCAATGTTGCAAGAACTGAACATGTTTTACTGTTCCACCTCCCTTCAAGCAGACGACGTGCATGAAGGTTTTTCCTTTTCATCCTACTGGGTGGAATAAGGTAATAGTGCATAGTGGTTTGTTAAATGGGGTTTTTGCCCCGTGTTGCTTATATTTTGTGATTGATTTTACATTTTGAAGCTTTCATTTGTTTTATGCAGATGGCTTCTACTTATGTAAACTTAATGTTTGAATTCTTGATAACCCTGTTTTCCTTTTGCATTTTAGTGCAAAAGATGATATTGATATTGATGCCCTTGCTGCTGAGATAGAAGGTGCAGGAGCTGCAAAGGAGCAAGAGCCTCAGAAATCCAAAGGCAAAAAGAAAAAAGAGAAAAAGAAACAGGATTTTGAGTAAGTTTGGTTTTTTTTCTATCTGTCTTATTTTATTCCATTATACAAAAACTCAGTTACTTAAGTACCATAACTTCTTTCTCATTTTAGTGAAGATGATATCCTGAAGGAGCTGGAAGAACTGTCAATAGAGGCACAAGGAGGGAAAGTTGACAGGGAACCTTCTACAGGAAAGGTGAACACTGAGAGGGAAGTGGGTTGTTTAATAGGAAATAGTTGGAATATGAGACACCTCTGTCCCAGAAGAGTTCTGGTGTTGCAGTGTAGTTGGAGATCCTATGTGAAACTTGGCAGCTAGCATGTATTTTTAATTATACTTGATCGTATTTTCATAGTAAAGTCAATTGTGAAAGACTTTACCAGAAGCCATGCCTTCATGCTGATAATTATTCAAAGCCAATCAGAATAAATTTTAGTTGTAGGCTGAGGTGTAGTACGCTCATCAGGAATAGTTATTGCTTTCAAACTTTATCTTCAATAGGAGAAGTTTTTCTTGACATCTCTCAATGCTACTACTTAGCTCATAATAGCAAGTAATTTTTCATGGCTGATTATTTAATTGTTCAATTACTAGGTTGAAAATGACAACGAAGAAAGCTTATCAAAGCAAGATAAAAAAAGGAAAGGAAAGAGTAAAAAAGCCAGTGTGGAAAATGACTATGACAGTGAGGAAGTGGAAGATAAAGATAAAAAATCTAAAAAACCTCAGAAAGCAAAACAAGACATACTTTCTGGCAGTGATGATGATGATGATCATGAGATGCAGCTTAAGAAAAGCAAAGGGAAAACTCAGAAGTCAAATAAAAAGCATGATCTGTCAGAAGAAGATGAAACTAACATTAAGAAAAGCAAAGAGCGTGTGGGGGCAGTGTCTACAGGTGAGAGCGGTGATGAATCAGACGAGGTCTCCCAATCTAGAAAAGGACAAAAGAAAAACCAAAAACCAAAGTCCACTCCTGCTGCTGAAAGTGGGGATGATGAAGAAGAACCTTCATTCAAGGTAAAAACAGTGGCTCAGAAGAAGGCAGAAAAAAAAGAACGTGAAAGGAAAAAACGTGAGGAAGAAAAAGCCAAACTGAGGAAGCAGAAAGAGAAGGAAGAATTAGAAGGTGGTAAAGAACCAGCAAAGCTGAAGGAAGCTCCAAAAAAAGCTGAAGAGAAGGCTTCTCCTGAAGTCATGGCAACCCCTGGCCCTGGAGAAAAAGGAGAGACTCCTGCAGGAACAGAGGGTTTGTAACATGGTTTCTAAACCTGTAATTTAAACTCTATAGCTTTTATAAGAAGACCAAAAGAGTTGTCAGGCAGTGAGGGTGATCTGTTGCTTTATTCTAAATTGGGAATACTAGACATTTGGTAGCCTTGTCTGCCTCTTTGTGTTGGCTCACATGTGGCTGTTTTTTCTGGCCTGTAGTTTTTGTTCAGGTACATGGGAAAACAAAAGCCAGATGGCAAATTCTCATTACAATATATGCTTACGGTTCTGTTTTGCAAACATACTTTTTCACTTCCCAGTTATTCTGTTACTTCAAGACTTCAGGGCCTGGCTTTGTAACTTAAGAGGCATTTTTATTTTTTTCATTATGAAGTGCTTATGTAGTAGCCAGTCAAAATGTTCCATGTTTGGTGTTATTTATAATATTTGAAACATTAATTGTATTTAGAGTATCTTTAAAATTTCTGGGATCTTTGAATGTATGCCTCTTCTTTCTGTAGCTGATGACAATGAGGGGGACAAAAAGAAAAAAGACAAGAAAAAGAAGAAAGGTGAGAAAGAAGAAAAAGAGAAAGAGAAGAAAAAAGGTCCCAGTAAAGCCACGGTTAAAGCTATGCAAGAAGCCTTGGCTAAAATGAAAGAGGAGGAGGAAAGGGCAAAAAGAGAGGAGGAAGAGCGCATAAGACGACTGGAGGAACTAGAAGCAAAGCGCAAAGAGGAGGTACTGTGTATCTTACTCTGAGGATAGAATAAGGGAGAAGGTAATCTTAACCTGTACCCTTGCTGGTGCAGTTGGTGGGTTAGTCCTTAATATGTTTCTCATCAATAGAATATACACTTGGCCAGCTTTTGTGTAAAGCATGCTTTAAAATTTCTGTGTGTGCTTTAACCTTTTTCTAGGAACGATTAGAGCAAGAGAGGAAAGAAAGAAAGAAACAGAAGGAAAAAGAGAGGAAAGAGCGTTTGAAGAAGGAGGGAAAACTTTTAACAAAAACTCAGCGAGAAGCCAGAGCCAGAGCGGAGGCAACTCTTAAACTACTCCAAGCTCAGGGTAAGCAGTAAAGTTTA